ATCACTGCAGTTCCACAGACTCGCTTCGATGTGCGGATGAGCGCCTACTGCGAGGCGCATGACCATGCGTTTGCACGTTAAGCATGCACAAGAAGTATACGTACCATCTCTATTGTTACGAAAGAGAACACCCAATTGTTTCGCAGGTAACTACGCCCGTCGCGTGTAGAATCCATAATTTTTTTTCCTTTACCTAAGTACCGACGTATGCCTGCTCTCACAGCCAACTCTCTCGTGCTGCCGGTGTATGCCGCCATATTCTTCCCAACTTCGGAGATTTACAAAGCCGCGTATATACGTTTAAGTACAGAACGTGAACGCGATGCGTCTTTCTTCTCCCGCTGATCTAGCGAGGGCTTCTTTGACCCTGTAGGGGTTGGAAAGTCACTAGAAACAATGTGTATGCCGAAAACAAGTAATGCTATTGAGATTCCTCGGTAGCAAGGAGAAAAATAATCTATGAACTTCAGTTTCGTTACGTAAGAGCTCTGGTAATACACAAAAACAAGACAAAGCATCGAATTCTTCATCAAGGAAAAATAATGTTCGTTTTACTCATAACAAAATGTGGCCCTCTGTTGCAATTTTGATATTATTTTATATTAATGCACTGTATGTCGCTAAAGCAGATTGATGCATAATGTGTCACTGCAGCTGCTGGCACGCGGCCACTCGCATTTCGCCAGCAGATTAATATAAATTTCATTAGGACCAGGGATCATTGAGCACGAGGGCCTGGAAGACGCATGCGTCGGTGAATTCACAGCGAGGGATGGTTCGTACTATCTGTTCAGTGTTTTGAGATTATCATCCTTGGGAGCGTTGTTTATCAAGCATTCTTTGATAATTTAACGCCTATTCGGTATCTTCTGAATTCGGTGGTTGTTTGTTCAACCCTCGGCTGTGTACGAAAAAGTTTCCTGGTGAGGAATTAGTTAAGATATTACTAATCTTGTCAGTTAGTCCCTCTTATCATAGTTGCTTTTGTACATTCGGTATGAACTGTTCTCAGATTATTGAACTTTCAGTCGTTCTGTACTTAATCAATCATCACTTTCAAAACCAATCAATCCCACCGCGGTGGTCTAGTGGCTAAGGTAATCGGCTGTCGACTTGCAGGCCGCGAGATTGAATCCCGGCTGTGGCAGCTGCATTTTCGATGGAGGCGAAACTGCTGTAGTCATGTGTCCTCAGATTTGGGAGCAGAGCGAAGAATCCCAGGTGGTCGATATTTTCGGAGCCCTCTATTACGGCATCTCTCATAATGATATAGTGGTTTTAGGACTTCAAACCCCACACATTTTAGTCAATCAGTCAATCATATAATCAAAACCAACAATTACAAACAATAGGTGCAAGTGGCTAGCATATGATGATCTTGTCGGAATCTCTATTAGTCTATTCGCACGTTGTGCGTCCACAAAAATACAAAATAGTTTACGCACACGTGAAGGCCTGAGTTAGAAACAGTCACTACTTCTGTATCTTGCTGTAGATATCGATGAGAGCGTCGCTCATGATTTCTGTTTTTGAGCCCTTGCCATTGCAGTGCTTTCGATGGCGTTGGTTCTGTGCAGTCAGCACTCGTACACACATCTTAGTGAAGTAGGCGTTATCAATTTAAGTTCTTACATTAGGGATTTTTCTTGAATATATATTTCCAAGAATCAGTTGCACGAATGGAGAATGTTCGATTAGTGTTGTGTGAGATTTAACCCTTATATAGTTGTCGGATGGCAATTTACCCATGGTCGAACTCGGTGCGCTATAGGTGATTTCCATAGCACCTGTGTAATCTAATTTTTTTTTTTTGCAGGGGTAAGTTTGCGATGACTGCTTAAAGCACATGTTTCGTGCATCCGCAACGACGTTTCCTTTTCGAAACATTCGGAAAAAACCTTATCATCTTGAAGGATTTATTTGTGGCTGTGTCGTTTGTACAGGCTTCTGGAAAACTCCTAGCAAACCAGAGCGCAGCACAAGAAAATAGGAGCTCATATCCTGATGCGAACATTATGATTCTACGAAGTATTATACGAGTGTGTAGCGTTCCTGTTCTCGGCATTGTGAGTTGGAGACGTGTAAGCTGAGTATTACTCTATTTACAGTACAATGAAAAAAAAAAACCCTGCGTGTTAGCTTTTCCACATGCGCACCTCGCACAGCACAACGCCCTTGAGTATGGTACAGCTGGTGACTGATCGACAAGTGTTTGATCTACTCAACTTGCATGAAGTACAATAATACTATGTTTAGTATAATTAACTGTCATAAAAGTGAGGCAAACGCATCTTGCGAGTGTGCTGATCTTGTTGGTCTCCTGTTACTAAAGGGTATAGCGCTCAAGCAGCAGGATATGTTGCTGTATGTAAATGACAGTTTTTAGTTTTTTTTTCTTTGAGCAGCCGCACGTACACATAATTTCGGAAGCAATTTTCGCTTTTGGGAGGTTCTTGTTTATTGTGAGTGGAGAAAACAGGGTAGTGTCATAGATACATGTACCTTAGATACTATCTTAGATACTTTTATAGTATCTGTATTATGGTACGTCTCGTGAAACAAGTAACTGTATTTCCGTTACATTCAATAATGTATCGTGTACCTTAAGATACAAGATGTTGCGATCGCAATGCTCGTGCGAGGCGTTGATCACTCGCCAAACTATGCTTCTCAGACTAGTACTGGTGCCACTGAGCCACCTGAATAAAACCAAGGGTAGTGACATAACTTCATCTTTCCACCTGACTCCACCAGTGGGTGCAGACGATGTAGTGTATGCATCCCTTTTGATGGAGCAGCCCTCACGACGGAGCTCGCATAGTCTCGACAGAAACTACGTTCGCATGCTTGCCCACGCGACTTCTGTTTTCTCGATTTTTTTTCTTTTCTCTTTCGTTGTGTCCGAGCTATAACACTTACTTTATCCACTTGCAAGTGCCGCTTACCAAAATTAGTGTGGCGATGACCACACAGCTTCTGATGCCACCCTCTACAGTGGAGCTATATTACCGCGAGTACTGAATCTGTCCCTATTAGAGTGAATGCTCATTTACGATTTTATATCTTGGCTTACCATGTCTCTTTCTTCCTAGTGTTCAAATTCAAAGAGCTCTTGAAACTCCTAGTAGTAGTAGTATTAGACTTTTATTCAGCCAAATTTACAGGCCGAGCATTTCGACCGCCTGTGCGATCAGTCGACGCTGTTCTTCTTACCGTTCGGCGCCGATCCACTCGAACCAGGAGGTGATGAAAAGGGATGGGGGAGGGTAACAGCCGGATTGCTGAGCAGTTGGGCAGTAAAACAGGCAGTGTGACCGGTCAGCGTATGGGGAGGGACAATTAGGACAGCAGGGGTTAGACCTATATTTGTAAAGGAAAAGGCAAGAGGGGGTTATCAAGCAGTTCATTTGGATGTGCCGTAGAGTTCGAGCGTCGAGCGCAGTGAGTGTTGCATGAGGGGGAGGGTAAAGACGCTTGTCGAGCCGAGCTGGAGATATACCTCCTTGATAGTGTGACGCAAGGAGATCTGCCCATCGTTATTCGCGGAGCTCTCACTCTCTTCCGAAGGTGTGTGTAGTATCATAAGGGCAAAGAATAAGACGATGCATGGCCAGAACAAGAAGGAACAATGTTTATTCATGAGGCTGCTGTCTTGGTTTTAATACCCTGGCCCAAGGCCGGAGCATGCGCCGTGGCGAGGGGTGGAGGCACGTGTTATCAATATGTTCTTCGGCGCGTGCACCTGATAATCTACGATATATCACTTCCTCCTCTCTGAGCTAAAACCTATCCGGCGGCTTGCGGGCACGGGTGAAGCGTCGGAGTGGGAGTGGTTCTGCCGTGGACCTTGGACTTGCTGGCTCGATGCCACCGCCAGACGCTTCCTCACCAGGCTCGGACAGACCGGCCTGAAGGGCTTCGCTGCTAGTTGACTGGATGCCGCTGGATGAGAGTGGCAATTGCTCCATGGCCATTGGCGTTTCGCACGGTTCTTTCTTAATCAGTGTCGACGAGTCGCGTGGTCGTACTTGATCGACGTGTCTACGTTGCACCCCCCTTGGCGTGTTAACGGTTAACAATCGCTTGCCTTCAACTGTTGTCACGGTTCCGGGTAGCCACCTTTGACCTAGCTGACTGTACTCTCGACTCCACACCTCCCTTCCTGGTGCAAACTCTTTCTTTCCAGAGTTCGGAAGTCCGTTGACGGTAGCCTCCCTCTTCGCCCCGTCTTTCTCTGCCAGGTAGGTGCTCAGGCGGGTCCGTGGTAGGAATCCAAAAAGCCTTTCCGCGGGCGACTGCTCCTCTCGGGTCGGTGTTGTCCTGTAACGCAACAAAAACTTGGCAAGCCGACTTTGCAGCGTTCCCACCCGATTTTTCTTCAGGCCCTCCTTGACGTTGCGTACTGCCCGTTCCGCCAAACCGTATGATTGCGGGTAGTATGGGGCCGTCGTTACGTGGTGCACCCCATTTTCCCGGAAGAACCGCGCTGTCTCTGCACTGGTGAATTGTGGACCATTATCCGACACGACAGTCCGTGGTATGCCAAATCGCGCGAAAATGCACCTAAGTGTGTCTACCGTAGTCGCTGCTGTCGCCGTCTTCAAGAGCACTGCTTCGATCCACTTAGTCTCGGCGTCGACGAGGACGAAGATCATATGCCCTTCCACGGGACCAGCAAAATCTACGTGTAGGCGGTACCACCGTCTGTTGTTCTTTGGCCAGTTTGCCGGGACCTGCGCTGGGGGCATGGGCAAACACTGCACGTATTGGGGACACCGTTTTTCAAGCATTTCAATTTCACCGTCTAGCCCTGGGTACCAGAAAATTGAGCGCGCGAGGTTCTTCATTGCCGTCATGCCTGGGTGCGTATCGTGCAACTCTTTCAAAACAAATTGCCGGGCAGCTGTAGGCAGAACCACACGGTGGCCCCAGTAGAGTATCCCGTTACTCACGGCCAATTCATGCCTCCGTGCAAAATACGGTTGGTACTGCTGTTAATCTTAACCGAGACGCCTTGGCCAGCCTTGCAAGATCCAAGTCTTCACTTGCTGAAGTACGTCATCTTTGCTGGTGTGGTCTGAAATACTCTGCGCAGACAAAACAAAATCATTCATAGCCTGCGCATGCAGGACATATTCGGCTAGTTCATTTTCCCAGCCATTATCGCCAACCGGTAATGGCAACCGGCTTAGAGCGTCAGCATTTGCATTTCAATCAATCAATCAATCAATCAATCAATGAAGCTTTATTTTCATAAATAGATATATGCAATTACAGGGATTATTTGGACCGATAGCCTAAAGTGGCTAGTGGACGGTCCAATACAATGTGCAACATAAAAAAGTGTACAGGTCAGCTCTGAGGTAACAACATAAAAAAAACAATCATGTGATACAGATAACACAGTAATACATTTTTTCTTGCAGATATGCATACTTATTAGCTTGCAGCTAGTTTCTATACATAGGCACTTATTAAAAAATACAATGAAAATCGAATCACACACACATGCTTACATGTCTTGACTCCACAGAAAAAATGATTTACATGCCATGCTGAAATTACGTGCCGTTTTAATCTCTAGGGGGACCGTGTTCCATATTTTTGTTCCACTAAACTGTATCAGTCTTTCTCCGTAAACATTAAAACATTTGGGCAGATTGAAATTACCATTCGAAGCATGTCGCGTATTGCGTTTAGGAATTGAAAAAAGATCAGCAGGCAAAGGCGAATTTCTATTATTATGTTATTTACTGAAACAGCAATTTTGTAGTCACGCAACATCGGAACTGAGAGAATGCGTTGTGATTGGAAAATATTACTTACTGATTCACCTTGGCTTATGATTTTCAGTGTACGCTTTTGAAGTCGCTCAAGAGTTTTTAGGTAACTGTTGTACGTCACACCCCACGATTCTCCTTTTCTTTTTAGCTCTCCTTTTCTGTATTCCAAGTCGTATTGATAAGCTGCTAAGAGCAGCACCCAACGTTGAATGCGGGCCGCTGCCATTTGCGGAATGGGTTTATCTGGACCTAGCAAACCAGTCAGAGGCTTGTGATCGGTCACCAGAGTGAACTTGTTGCCAAACAAATAATCTCGAAATTTTACAACGCCGAAGACCAGCGCTAGTGCCTCCTTTTCCAATTGTGAATAATTACGTTCCGCCGACGTTAGAGTTCTCGAGCGGAACGCTATGGGATGATCCACTCCTTGTATGCGGTGCGACAAAACTGCGCCTATACCCTCGGCCGACGCATCACACTCAAGCCGTAAGGGTATTTGGAGTCGTAATGCACAAGAAAGTTCGCCCTTCTCATGGCGCGCTTGGTTTCTTGGAATGCTGTTCTCTGTGCGGGCCCCTAACACCACAGTGCTCCTTTAGACAAGAGTCGGTGTAACGGGGCCAAAGTGGACGACAAGTTTGGTAGAAATTTGGAATAGTATGTCACCAGTCCTAAGAATGATTTAAGCTGGCTTACCGAAGTCGGTGGCGGTGCCGCTAGCACTGCTTCCAAATTGTCCTGCAGTGGGTGGAGGCCTTTTGCATCGATTCGGTGCCCTAGAAATACCACTTCTTTCTCCCGGAAGTGGCACTTCTCCTTGTTCAGTGTTAGGCCGTTCGCCCGAAGTCGTTCGAACACTTGCCGCAGTATCGTTGTGTCATACTCTTTTTCTGCTACAATAATGTCGTCCAGGTAAACTTTCACCCATGGTATACCCTGCAGCACGGCTTCTATGCACCGCTGAAAGAGCGCAGGCGCTGAGGCAATGCCAAAAGCCAAGCGGTTGTAGCAGAAGAGGCCTTTGTGTGTATTCAACACAGTTATCTTCTTAGCATCATCATCCAGGGAAAGCTGGTTGTATGCGTTTCGTAAGTCGAGTGTGCTGAACACTTCGCCTCCTGATAGCGCCGCAAAGATGTCGTCAATTTTCGGAAGCGGGTACTGCTCTGTTCTTGTCGCTGGATTAACTGTTAGCTTAAAGTCCCCACACAGCCGGATGTCTCCGTTCTTCTTTACTACGGGCACGACCAGTGTTGCCCATTCAGCCACGCTCTCTGGGGACAGCACGCCCACTTCCACCAGTCGGTCAATTTCGGCGGAGACTTGCGCTCTCATGGCATACGGGACTGTCCGAGCCTTCAGAAATCGAGGTTGCGCACTTTCCTTGAGGTACAGCTTCACCGGTGGTCCCTTACAGCATCCGAGGTTCTCAAAGAGGTCCGGAAACTCGTCAAGAAGTGCGGTTAGCTGGCTGTCGGCGTGAACAACATTCACCGAAGACGACGTGCCTTCTACTAGCAACATGCCTGCTTTGCGAAATTGCTCTATCGTGTCCCTTCCGCACAAAAGGGGCCCTCGATGGTCCACTACTATCAGCGAACTGCTCACCGTTACTGGTCCAAGCTGTACCTGCATGTCTACTTTGCCAACGACCGGCAACGGTCCCAGGAAACATGAAAGGCGTAGTGGAGTTTTTTGCAGAGCCGGCCACCACTTGCGATGCTTCTTGTACAAGCTTTTGGGAATCACGCTTACTGGTGATCCAGTATCGACAATCATTCGCAGCCTACGGCCTTCCCACGTTAAGGTGCGCTCGATTGGCTGCACCAAGTGCTTATTGGCGGAACTGTGTGCAACGAGAGCATACAACCTCTCTTCTTCGCTTTCACATTCGGTTCCGTCGACAGCGAACGTTCCTGACCTAGGGGTGTGGGGTCTTTTGCAAGCCCTAGCAAGATGCCCTCTTTTACCACATTGATGGCATATGGATCTGCGATGTCGACAGGACGCCGTTGCATGTGCCCCTTTGCATCTGTCGCATGAAAGGCTGCAATTCTTCCTCCACTGTCTGCCTTGTTGCTGTATCACGTTGACACCGCCACATTCGGTCCGGGCGTATGAAGTACGCATGCCCCGAGCGTCTTCGTTCGCTTTCTCAGAAGCTAAGGCGAATTCTTCGGCTTCATCACGAGTCAAGTTCTTGCGGCCCAGCAGGCACCGGCGCGTTTCCTCATCCCGAATGCCACAAACGATTCGGTCCCGCAACATGCGGTCCAGTGTCGCCCCGAAATTACGATTTACGGCCAGTCTTCTCAGTTCAGCAATGTAGTCCCGGACGCTTTCTTGCTCATCTTGTTTTCGCATAAAGAAAGAATAGCTTGCTGCTATTTCGTTTGCCTGAGGGTTGAAATGTTCTTCCAAGCATTTCACAACGTCATCGTACGTCAAGGAGTTGATGGCGACCCCCGGCTGGTGCCCTTGCAATATCCGGACGACACTGTCGCTCAACGATGAAACCAGTAGGGCCCGGCGTTTCGCTACGTCGGTAATATCGTTGCCCTCAAAGTAGGCTTGCAACCGGACACGATACGTGCTCCAGCTACTCACGGCGTCGTCGAAGGCAGGGGGTCGGGATCCCATTCTTCTGGTCTCAGCGTCGGAGTGCAATTAACCGGATCCCATCCTCGTCGCCACTGTAGTATCGTAAGGGCGAAGAATAAGACGATGCATGGCCAGAACAAGAAGGAACAATGTTTATTCACGAGGCTGCTGTCTTGGTTTTATTACCCTGGCCCGAGGCCGGAGCATGCGCCGTGGCGAGGGGTGGAGGCACGTGTTATCGGTATGTTCTTCGGCGCGTGCACCTGATAATCTACGATATATCAGTGTGGGCCATGGAATGAACGTTGCCCGGTGCAATATATCGATGGCAAGCTGATGAGCTAGCTCATTTCCGTTAATACCCGAATGCCCAGGAACCCAGTGGAGGAAGACAGTGGAGGGTTGAAGAGCAGAGGCCGCTCGCTCGACCTACTGTTGAAGAGCAGGGGGCAACGTGTTGTTCTCTATGTGATGGATGGCCTTGAAACTATATTATTGTTACGAGAGTAACGAGTCGCTTACACTGTCGGCTTTTCGCAAAATATATTTGCAAGAGCTGTTCCAGCGCTGGCCAGTCTGGCTCGGAGCTCGAGCAGCAAGCTGCTTTCATCCTCTCCGTCGGGCGCACACGCGCGTCGACAATATGTGTTCCGGCAGCCTACATGTAGCAATACGATTGTTAGCAAAAGTACTTTTTCAGTTGTCTACCTGTTACGTCCTATACGAAATCACTCAGTGCTCTGTACTTTGTTATATTTTGCGAATCCAATATATACGTTTTTCAGAGTGCAGTCAAAATAACATCTGTTTCATTCTTTACTTTATGTTTCTACTTTATTTTTGACACTGCTCACGCAATTATATTCGCTTGTGTTTACACTTTCCTGCCATGGCGATTTGGAAAACCATATGTAATTATGAGGACGTGCGCTGAGTGTGCAGCAGTAAACATTCTGCTTGCTGCTTGATAAAATTACCCAAGTGAATTTACGTCGTAATAATGAAAGCAATTATTGGCGATCTTAAATATCTCGGAAAAGGGATTCGGGAAACATTTCTAGCATCATCGTCATTCATCATAATCGTCAGTTTACTTCCTGATCGTAAGCTTAAAGAACAGCAAAATAGAGGCTGCAGCTTGTCCAATAACTCTATCCTTGAAAGCGCATTCTGAGCCGCGGCAGAGTTGTAATTATTGGTTGGCCCTCGTGCGATAACGTTAAAATGGCACGATCGTAAAACTGCACGTGCCATGGTATGGTTGTTCCGTTTTTGGTGCGAATGCGTTGAGGCTGCCAGCGTGAGTCTCAATCTCGGTGTAAATGGCTCGATAAAAAAAGCACCTCATCTTCTTTCCTTGACGTATACCTACAAGTACTACTGCCACTTTTCAGTATTTGTGACCATCTTTACGAGCAAGTACATGAACCTCGTGCAAAACATCAAAAGCCAAAATTTGTTTCCCAATGTTTCTTCAGTGCGAAACAACAGAGCTAACTGCAACAAGGATTTCTTCTCTAAAGAGTATAAATGGGGTCCAATGAACTTACGATATTTATCAAAAACATAGTAAACACATTCACTATACATGACCAATCTGGCTTTGAATGTTTATAAGCTTTTAGATGAATTCAAGAAGACAATACCGTCTTTTGTTGCACTAATGAGCAGGGAAACAAAATAATAATTTTTAGTCTTTAAATGGCTTGGTTTAAAAAGCTCGAGATGTTCACCGCCGTTTCATTTATAGCGCACAACAGCTGCTGATGTTCATTGCTGCTGGTCAAATTTAGAGTTTGGACAAAAAGCACTTGTGGCAAGAAGAGAAGGGCTACAGTGACAATGAGCAGTTTGCTGTTGTACACTGTAGGCATGTGCGTCTTGGTCCAACCGACAACTATTTAGAAGATACGTAGTTTGCAGGGGTCAGTTAATTAGTAAGGATCCAATAGCAACTGCTTGGAGTGAATCATATGACCACGAATTTTCTTCTTGATTTAGAGTAATACAAGAATTCCATTCACAACCTAATATTGGTCACCTCCAATGACATCATTTGGTAGGTGCTTATAGAAACACGTTTTAATATCGTCCAACAAGTTCCGAAATGCCTGAATGTAGCACTTCTGTGATTTTAATTATTTAGTGCATTGTATTTATAATTTAGTCTTGACAACATAATAATTCTTCTGTTTAGTGTGACTTCTTCATTGTGTATTTTGATAGTACATAGGTAGGGATATTGAACTGCCTGATACTTTCAAGAAAGAGACGAACAAAAAAACGATACTACGAGCACAAAAAAAACTAGCGCTTCGTGCTTTTACACACGTTCGTCGTTTTTACTTTTTGCTAATACATTCCATTCTTTTATTTACTGAACATAATTTTGTTAAAGAAATCGAGCTTCGAAAAGGTTGACAGGAGCATGTCGTTTAATAAAGATGCGTGAAAATTTATTATTCACTGCTTCACATATTTTTTTTCTCTCTTGAAGGCCTACTGCTGGAACAAGCCCTACGGATGTGATTTCGTCGGCCCTCTGGCCGGGGTTCTCCAACACTTTGAAGAAGAGTGCGGTTTCCACTCGTCCTGCTGTCGAAAATGTGGCGAGTTCATCATGAATGATATGCTAGCTGCCCACTATATAGCCCATTTGGACCACCGACTGCCATCTCCTGACACTGCCCGATTCCCCGCTGAAAGGTGACGGCGCTGCCGTCGCCAGTGACAACTCCACAAGTGGTTCTGTAATGAATGAACTGATGCGTGTGCTCGAGGCGACCTCTGTCGGAGAGCTTCAGCGCACGATTGATCACTTCAGCGAATGACCGAAACAATAGACACCTGATTGGGAAAAACAGTGGGGCATGTTGAAAGTTTGAGTAGCAACTGAGTTATCCTTTAACATTAAGCAACGAGACGCCAGTCGCCCAGAAAAAAAAAAACTTCGAAAACAACCTGCTCTGCTTGGCGGGGTACAGTAGCGTATGTCAATTTGTAACTCAAAAAGCTTGTCTTCAAAGAGAAGATAAAAGAGCGGTGACATCTCCTGGTGGTGACATAGAGAAAAGCAATAACTACTATGACAAATATTGCTCAGTAACGAAAGCGTTATGTGCCATTCGCACCAGTTATTTTTAAGTGTGAATACTCTATGAAAATAAAGTACAAGTCTCAGAAAGGGTAGCGAGTCCTTTGCCGCTAAGGAAGAAAAAATAGAAAAAAAAGAAAAGCTTGCTGTAACCTCTTATTACTGTAGTGTAAAGCGGATGCTCATGTTACCAGATTGAACGTCTGCAAGATTGGGCACAAGTGCAGCACATCCTGTTCTCCACAATGGGAAGAATATCTACTGACATTAGAGAATAGAGTATAATAAGGAGAAAAAATATGAAGACCGAGGCACCGCAAGAAAAACGAGACTGAGATAATTGACTCTATAACTTGACGATCTCACGAATAACGATGAAGGTACTGCGAATCTCCCGTAAAGTGCGAAATGCGCGTAGCAGATTGTGCGCTTTCTGAACAAAGGAAAGGCCTGAAAGAGCGAATTTCGTTGATATCCCGAAAAGTTCAGTAAACCGCATGACGCTTGATTCGTCGTGCGTGGACATATCGTAGACAGCCGATTCAGGGTCGACCTGTTATTGAGTTGTGAAATTTTCAACATGGCATTTTTTGATGCATTCTTGCTTTTTAAGTACATTCAGAATCTACGACGACCAGAGCGATCACTCACTTGGATCTGTGTGAAGAAATAAAGTCACTGTTATACAAAAGCTCTGTCGTACAGAGGTACCATGAAATAATCGGCGCGCCGATATTTGTCTACTATTACATTGGAGAGAAAGTGAACGTTTTTCGTGGAGAAACTACGTAACAAGAAAACAGAAATCACTGCATCCCCATGAAGTGAATGATAAGTGGGCGAAGCAGTGGAATCGTTACGCTTTGCCACAAGTTCCCCGCGACATTGCCCACTCACACATGTTAATGCATGAACGTGCTGTGTCAAGTTATATAGAAAG